ATATATCAAGTGTCAAAGTTCACTTTTCCTAGTATCTGGTCTGTGGCAAATATCACTGGGTTCCAGGACCACGCGAATACAACTCGTACATCGCTGTCGAAGCTCGTGGAAGCTTGTCAAAAACAAACATGAAAATACAACGCGCCTTGGGGTGATTTGAGCTCAAAAATAGCGATAAAAAAGACTAATCGCTGTTTTAATTCAAGGAAAAACGAATTTCATTCACATTTTCAAGTATAAGAGAAGAAAATATAAACAGACACAACAACAAGTAGAATAAATTCAAGATAAGTTTAATGGGATTTCAAACATTTGCGAGTTTTTCGCCGATTTACAACAATAAACAATAGATTTTCAAAACAAAGTTTGTTCTCTACAAAAAGAGACTAATTGAGCAATAACAGCCAACGTATTCTTAACAGGGGTGGATCTAGACTAGTGCCACTAGTTCCATGGAACTAGTCAAAGTATTTTAAAAGTAAAAGAATTCAATGTTTTCTAAATATATTATCGTCAAAATGCGTGTAAAAACGTATTTTTATAGATTTTTTTTAACGATAATTGCCACTGCCACAGGGATCCTGTGCAGAATATTCATATGATACAAAATTTGTGCGTTGGGGTAGAGTCCCACGGGAATATTGCTTTCAAATGATATGTTGTCACGCAGTTRCCACGATATTAGCATATGGCACTGCTCAAACGTGCATCCTATTGGTTTGTACTAGTCAGCATTGTTTTCTCATGTTTTCTGGCACTAGTCAAAGTCGATTTTTATTGGCTACTTGTATGGCTGGCACTAGTCGGCACTGGTAGGAAAGATCGAGCTAGCGTGACACCAGAATGTATTTCACAAGACACTCGAGAATATTAAACCTATACAGTTAGAATTATAAAACATGGCTTGAAATATAAACCGTGGAGATCCAGCTTGCCAAAAGGTTCGACTTCTTATTTGATTTAGGTGTTTTTTTTTAACGATCTTCTGATTAAAAACGATCAAATCACAAACGTGTGGAAACCGGTCGACAGCGCGACAGAGTTACAAACTCTGCCGGACGATAACGCGTTTGTATTCCCTGAGTCAAAAGAAGTTAGAAGAACTAGAAGATCCAATCCTGTATTGATAAAGTCCGGCTAAAGAATTTTTCGTGGTTGGCTTATTCAGAATATTTCGATGGACAACCRTCTTTCAATGCCTCGAAGGTCATTCAAACGGTATAAGAATGTCAAACACACAAATACGAAGTATGAGACAAGAAGTAGTGCCTTTCGATCAGCAGCTAGTACGTTGCTAAAGCAACAAATAGCCAAAAATAGAGAGATAATCGCGTCATTATTGAAGACTATACTGATTTTTGTGGGCGCAATTATATTCCCCTACACGGCCGAATCCGTCGATAGTCCGTAGTGTAACTTAGAGTTTCAAAATTCACATGTTTGTAATTACTAAAAAAATCGTAATTTTGCGATTATAGTATATGGGGTATGGTTGGTTTGAAGGATGGCACTAGTCAGCAAAAATCCTAGATCCACCCCTG